GCACTCCGGGACCACAAGGCTCTCAAGGGACAGTACGGCACTAGTAGCTCCTTAAGATAAGATGGTGCCTGGCCATTTAGAGCTTTGTAAGTGAGAAGAAGGATCTTGAATTCTATTCTAGACTGTATAGGTAGCCAGTGCAGAGAAGCCAAGACAGGAGTGATGTGGTCCCATTTCCTGGTTCTGGTCAGTACACGAGCTGCAGTGTTCTGGACCAGTTGAAGAGTCTTTAGAGACTTGCCAGAGCACCCTGACAAAAGAGAGTTACAATCTGGATGAACTAGTTTTTCTGCATCATTTTGCGACAGGATATTCCTGATCTTGGATATTCCTGATCTTGGATATATTACCAAGGTGAAAATAGGCTGTTCTTGAAACTTGCCTGATGTGAGAGCTAAAAGACATATCTTGATCAAATAGAACTCCTAGATTCCTAACAGTGGTGCTAGATGTCAGGCTGATGTCACTAAGGACAGTCAAATCACTAGAAAAAGTCTCTCTGAGGTTCTTAGGGCCTAGCACAATAACTTCAGTCTTGTCTGAGTTAAGTAGCAAATAATTTCTGGTCATCCAGGTCCTAACGTCCTTAAGGCACGTTTCTAGCTGACAAAACTGACTGGTGCCATCGGGCTTCATTGATACATAAAGCTGAGTATCATCTGCATAACAATGAAACTGTATGGAGTGTTTCCTCATACTATTTCCCAGAGGAAGCATATATAATGTAAAGAGAATTGGTCCAAGCACTGAACCTTGTGGGACTCCATGGCAAACTTTAGTGTGCATAGAGGACTCATCATTAACATGTACAAACTGAGATCAGTCTGATAAGTAGGATTCAAACCAACTTAAAGCAGTCCCTGTAATTCCAAGTAAATGTTCTAGTCTGTATAATAGGATCTGATGGTCAATGGTGTCAAAGGCAGCACTAAGATCTAACAAGACGAGCACAGACAGAAGTCCCCTGTCTGAAGCTAGAAGTAGATCGTTTGTAACTTTAACTAGTGCAGTCTCAGTGCTATGGTGGACTCTAAATCCTGACTGAAACTCCTCAAATAAACTGTTGTCATGGAGAAAGTCACACAGCTGATTAGCTACCACCTTCTCCAGGATCTTTGAGAAAAAAGGAAGGTTGGATATAGGCCTGTAGTTAGCCAGAGTTCCTGAATCCAGAGTAGGCTTTTTAAGTAGAGGTTTGATTACCGCTACTTTAAATGCCTGGGGTACATAGCCTGCCAGTAAAGACGAATTGATCATAACTAATATAGATTTGCTAACTAAGGGAAAAACTTCCTTAAACAGCTTGGTTGGGATTGGGTCCAAAAGACAGGTTGACGGTTTCGACGCAGAAAAAATGGAGACTAATATCTGGTCCTGGAACTGTCTCTGCCGTATCAGACGTATACGCACCAGGTAAGGGCAGGAGGTTACCAATTTTGTCTCTGATGTCTAGAATTTTGTTGTTGAAAAAGCCCAGGAAGTCATTACTGCTGAGGGCTAGAGGAATACAACGCTCAATGGAGCTATGACTCTCTGTCAGCTACAGTGCTGAAAAGGTATCTAGGATTGCCTTTGTTTTCCTCGATTAGAGAGGAATAGTAGGCAGCTCGAGCGTGACGTAGAGCCTTCATATATCTTCTATGACTATCCTGCCAGAAAAAACGAGATTCTACCGTTTTGGTCGAGCGCCATATTCTTTCAAAATTCCGCGACGATTGTTTTAGATTACAGGTTTCTGAGTTGAACCATGGAGCCACTCTCCGCCGCTTGACAACCTTCTGTTTCAGGGGAGCAATCGAATCCAGAGTAACTCTCAACGAATCCACTGCACCATCAACAAACTGAGCTGAGAGGGACTAAAGCTATCATAAGAGTTTCCAACTGGGTTGAAACACGGTACTGAATCAAAAACAGCTGACATAGCTTCCTTAAATCTAGCCACAGCACTATCCGACAAACTTCTAGAGAGCACACCTCTTCCAAGCAGAGGTAATTCTGGCAGGACAAAGTCGAATGTAATAAAAAAAATGGTCTGATAGAAGAGGATTTTCTAGGAAAACTGTAACGGTTATGGATTTCAATGCCATAAGCTAAAACAAGATCCAGGGTGTGGTTGAAACAAGGAGTAGGTTCGTTTACACCCTGGGTGAAACCAATAGAGTCTAATAGTGACATGAAAGCTGTGCTCAGGCTATCATTATCAACATCCACATGGATATTGAAGTCACCTACAACAATTATTCTATCACTGCTAAGGACTAAATCTGATAAAAATTCTGCAATTTCAGATAGAAACTCAGAATATGGGCCAGGAGGACGGTAAACTACAACAACTAGAACTGGCTGAAAGGTTCTTGAGACTGGATGTGAAAGACTAAGAACAAGGCTTTCAAAAGAAGAAAAATTCAGTTTTGGTTGAGGGTTAACTGGAAGTCCAGAATTAAAAATAGCTGCTACTCCACCACCTCGTCCGGTGTCTCGAGGTATATGAGTACGAAAATGACTGGGAGGAGTGGATTCATTCAAACTAACATATTCATCTTGACACAGCCAGGTTTCAGTCAAAAAAAGTAAATCAATATGCTGATCTGATATCAGATCATTCACTAAAAGAGATTTGGATGCTAAGGACCTAATGTTCAAAAGTCCGCAGTGAATCTTCTGATTTTTTAGCAAAATTGTATTCGTAGTCTTGATTCTGATGAGATTTTGACGATTTACGCCGTTTGGATGACTTATAAAAACGGGTCTGGGCCGGGGGACAGACACAGTACCTACAGTATAACTACAGTTCGATTCAGAATTACAGCTATAGTGACTGGGAGACAGATCTAAGGGAGGCGCAGAGAAGCGTGTAAGACTGCAGCCCCACCCCTTATGATGCTAATATCTTGCCCTTGATTTCATCAAAGGTTATGGTGAATGGACTTGAGCTTTTGTATTTTACACAGCAGGTCACACCTACACATTCACACACTGATGGTAGTGATTGCTATGTAGTGAGACCATCAGAAGTAACTCATCACATTCATACACCTCCGACGAAGCAGAAGGAGCTACTTGGGGTTAAGTGTCTTGCCCAAGGACACATTGGACATGTTGCTGCAGGGGAATCGAACCCTCGACCTTCAGGTTGAGAGATGACAACTCTACCAATTGAGCCATAGCTGTTATAAAAGTTATAGAAACATTCTGCATCTGATGGGGTTTTCTTGGCTTTTGCTTTTGGACTCTCGAAGAACTGAAGTTTTTTGCACTTCCACATCGGCTTTGTTTGTCAACAACACAGGTTGTTGCTTTGTCTGAACTCAGCTGTTCTAAACAGGAAATGCACTTTGATTGTAAGGTTTTGAGATGACAGATCTTGGATTGGGAGGTTGTACGAACACAAGCCCTCCTGTCAGTTCAGCAGATCTCAAACTAAGAACTATCTAAGAAATCTCCTCCATCATGTGGACTCCTGCAGTCCTGGAACAGCTCCTGGAGGATCTCACAAACTCTGTGGAATCTTTTGAAGACTTGCCAAAGTGCTTTGATAACTCCAGCCCCCCAGCTGCTCCTTTAATCTCTTCATCAAACGCTGACTCACTTTTGTGTTCTACACTGACGGGAGGCTCAAACTGCTGCTGAAGACCACCATCAGTGAAAACTAATCCCATCAAACTTCTAAACTTTGAGGAGAAACGTTTTAGTGTTTCAAATGATTCCAATAGAAGGTCAAGTCTTCCTGTTTGCCTTCATGGATGTGGACTTCCTGCAGCTGCTTCACTACAACAGTCTCCAAGGAGGGTTTTTCTGAAATTATGACAATATATTAACTCAGTCATTGTGAATGGTGCAGTACTTCCATCCATCCATTATGGATGTCCTGTTTGGGGTCACGGGGGGAAAACTACAGATGCCATTGTTCAAAAGAAAGGGCTGGTCAGCAGCCAATCACAGACACACAGAAACACTCACACCTACGGGTAATCTAGAGCCAACAACAAGCCTTAAGGCCCCAACACACCAAGGAGATCGTCAGCCATCGCTCCTAGTTGGACACTATCGAGTGATCGTTGAGTGTTAGTTTGCTCCATCGCTATCTGTCAGCCCCCCTCAGCCTTTTTTCAACTGATTTAACATGTTGAATTGTCGTCGGTCATCGCGGTTGATGAGAGGAATCTCTGTGATTGGCTGTTCAGCTAAGCGAATCAGTGCACGGGAAGAAAAACGGAAGTGATGATAGAAACTAAACGACGACAGTCAAGAGGTCTCCGCCTCTTCAGTTCTTGTTCCACTAATAAAAGACGAACGGCTGACAACGCCCAAAAATGCACAGGTAGAACATGTAAACTCCACACAGGGAGGTCCTGTCTGATGCAGGAACCTTGTTGCTGTGCGCCGACATCGCTAACCAGTGCACCACTGTGCAGTCCTATTGCACTACTTATGATAAATAATTCAAAGTTTTCAAATCATAAGTAACTCTATTTCTAAATACTTGTTTAGATGCAGTTTACCTAGATGCAGTTGAAACTTGAAACTTTAGAGGTAATTTAGATTTTCTGTCTGGTAAAACACTCACAGAGCTGAAATTAGAGAAAAAACATTCAACGATTCAAACATTCATACAGGATATGTAAAATATGCCCTAAATATATCTTTGAGTAACGACTTGAAAAAAAAAGGGTGAAGTCAAACTCCCTCTGGGTTTGTTGTTCTCAGCTCTGTGTTCAGAGGGTGTGTACACATTTGCAATACAAAATAAACAAATAAAAAGACATCTCCATCTTCTGGTGACACAATTCCAAAAGAAGGTGAATTTTAAGTTTTCAGCTTTTAAAAAAAAAGTAAAGATGATTAAAAAAGAAACCGATAAAGAAAAAAGCCCCAACAATGGAGATGAAAGCACAATAAATAAAGAACAGCGTGTGTGACAGCGACAAGATGAGCTCAAAGCAAAGATAATGGAAAAGTCTGAAAGGTAATTGAAAGTGTGAACGCTGCGGCGTACTCACAATGTTGTTGTGTTCAGGCAGGTGGTTGTTGCTCAGCAGCTCGTCCTCCTGAACCAGCGGGGAGGGTCTGGGAGCCGGAGGGGGGGTGATGTCTGCAGGCAGGGAGCCGGGGCTTCCCATCCAACTGATAGAGTTACCTGCAAGGAGACACAGCCCCATCACTGCCTATGTGTGAGTGTGTGTGTGTGTGTGTGTGTGTGTGTGTGTGTGTGTGTGCGTGCGCTGCGGCGCTGCACCTCAGTGGGCGTGAACCTACATATCTATGTGGCAGCTTTATTGTTTGAGCTGTCGGCAGGTTGATAAATCACCCAGTTTTATGGGAAGTGCATTGACGCATTGATCGTGGCTTTAGTGTTTGGACATACAGGCTCAGTGTGTATCGACGGGCTTATTGACAGCTGCTGTGATTGAGTGACAGCTGCAAGGGCTCTACCCTCTGGCTCCTCTACTCACATCTCAGGAGCCCTGCAGAATCCCAACGCTGCAGATCCGGACTGTGGGCCTGTTCTGCATGCTGAGGCTGAGGCGTAAAGCTGACACATGAAGAGGCAGAGTTCAGTTCATGCTGAGAGCCCCGCTGCAGGAGATCGACCACCCGGACGGATTCAGGAGACATCGAGATGAAGACGCTTTTCTCATTTATTCCATTTGAATTGTTCCTCAGAGAGTCTTTCATGTTGACTCCGTTTTCTTGATTCTGCTTCTTACATGCATAAAGTAAAACCCGGATTTTTAAGAGCAGTAGAATTTTTGGTCCTTCAAATGAGACTAATCAATTCCAACCTTTTCCCAAAAGTGTCACATTTCAAGGACTTGAGAGTAAGGTTCAGTACTATTTGATACCATGTGTTTTAAACCGATACAATCTCAGTCATTTTAATAATATCAGAAAGAAACAAAGATTAAAAATACATAACTTTCATAAGACAAAGAAGAGGAATGAAGTAAATCCTGCACACTGTCTAATCTTTACAAAAACATTGGCAACATCTCTGCCAATTTGATGTGCAATTAAGTAAATGTGCAGGAGTAAGGTTACTTTTTTTGATAGTTGAAAACAATAAATCAACATTTTTCCTTTCAGTTCAGAAATATTTTTTTGCAGAAGGTGACTTATTTTGCAGTAATGTAAATATTTTTAAATTGTTGAATTGTTTTGAAAGTATTTGTTTTTCATGAAACATTTTTGCATCTAATGAAACGATTTTTTTTGCAATCATGAAAAATTACAGCAATTGACCTTTAGACTCTACTTATTTCTCTGATCCTGATAAAAGTTTTTTGTCAACTGCAAATGTGTTTCATCCGGTTTCATTGTTGAAAAGACAACAACAACAAACCACCTGATAAAAAATGTTCTTCATAGATCTCCCTGAGGTAAAAAGTAACGTCGAGTAATGATCCAAGGGAAACCTTTTTAATGTCCAACATATTCTTCAGATTAAAAAAAAAATGACTATAGGAAAGATTATACTGATGAAAAAGGTTTTATCTGAAGTCATCGTCAAAGGCTTGAAAAAGATTAAGAGTAAGAGACTCTTATCACCTGATGTTTGCTGTTAAGGGCTTCTGTAGAATCGACTGCAAACAAAATAATGACAATCTTTTTTTTTTTTTTTTTATCAAAATGTCATCACTGAATCATCAGATCATCCAGCCTATTCACTGCACCTCCATCACTGTCTGCTTTGGATGTGCAACTAAACTGGACAGACACAGACTGCAATAGACTATAAGGACTGTAGAAAAGATCATCGGTGTCAACCTGCCCCCCATCCAGGACTTATCCCGGTCCCGAGCCAGGAAACAGGCAGGTAGTATCACTGCAGACCCCTCACACCCCGGACACAAACTTTTCAAACTCCTCCCCTCCGGCAGGCGTTACAGATCACTGAACGCAAAAACAACCCGCCATAAGAACAGTTTCTTCCCCCAGGCTGTCACTCTGATGAACGCTAAACAGTCACAGAGTGTCAGACCTGTCACGGTGAAGTAGGTCTGAACCAAACCGTCACTGTGAATACATATATATATATATATATATATATATATATATATATATATACATATACATATATTATTTAATTTAAATGATAAATCTATGCACACCTTTAATGTAAATACTGTGAAACTCTACCTCATGTAAATTAACCCATCTGTCACATAATAATTTTTTTTAAGTACATGTTTACAACAGCATCTTTTGCACTACTCACCACTGCACTGTTTCTAATTTAGTCTTGTACATATTAATCTGCTTATTTTGTGTTTATTTTGTGTTTATTGTGATATTTAAAGAGGACATATTCTCCCCCTTGTCCACCTTTTCAAACAGTCCCCTGTAAGTCTAAATGAAACATCTGTAATGTGCTTTGGTCAAAATATAACATGAATCAAGCACCAGAGGAGGTTTGTGACCCTGTGTAAACCAGCTCTCTCAGAACGCTCAGTTTTGGTGTGTGTGTCTCTTTAAATTCAGAGAGCCCCCCCCTGAGTTTTCCCCGTAGACATCACTCCTCTGTAGCGAGAATAAAAATGGCGGACCTGCGCAAAAGTTTTGCTCTTGGCTGGGGGTGGAGTCCATGAGTGGAGATACCAGGGGAGGGGAGGGGATTTTTTTTACCAGAATCCCACTGTGACATCACAAGGAGAGCACATTTGAAACAGAGCATTTTTCTCTGTGTTGTAAGACTTATGCAGTCCACAAACAAAGGACTGGATGGATTTATTTAGTGGATTTTTCATAATATTCCTTGTGTGTGAGCATACACGGCCAATAAAGCTGATTCTGATAAATAAATTTAGTTCAATACAATTTAGACCAAATTCAAGTATCTTCATGCAGAGATGAAACACAGCACATAAAGAGACCAGAGGAGAGGTGCGGGTGAACACTCACGCAGGCAGATGTTGTGGGTGAACATGCGTTGCAGCCTCAGACAGTCCTGCCACTGGTTCCCGCTGCCTTCACAGTTACACCACAGAGACACGTCTGCAGAGCCGTTACTGATGTAGTTTGGAGTCATGAGGGTTCCTACACGCCACACAGACATGAGGAGACAAAGGACCAGCATTACTTTAATGTCAATACATTTTTGTAAATGAATTCAGAGATTTAGACACAATCAAGAGGAACACATTTAGAAAACCTGGAAGCTTCTGCTGGCTGCTGCCCCGTGTTTAACTCGGAAATCAGCTAAATTGCGTTATGGCAGGAACAAAGAGAGGACAGAAAAGCTGAAACTAAGCCTGTGGGAAAACAGCACAGAGACTCCTAAAGGAGCTGAAGGACATTTTGAATCCTGGCCTTTTATGTTTTTCTGCTTTTTGCCATCCAAGCTCTTTTCAAAGCCAGAAAACAAAACGTTTAAAAAACATAGACGAGTGTAGCACAATCCCAAAACATTACACTTTTAGATGCTATGGAACAGTTAACCATTGTGGAAACCAATACCACTCTGTAGTCTTTGTGGTTAGTTTTAAAGCATATACAATGAGTCAATTAGCCTATCTTAGCATTAATCCTAGAGGAAAACTAGCCAGGTCCAAAGTTCAAGAATACGCCTACAGCTCACTATTTAACATTTTGTCTCATTGGTTGGGCTCGACATATGTTCCTCTATTAGCTGTCATGTCACACTCCGTTGTATGGCTGATGTTTAAAAATTATTCATCATGCAGTAATAAATGTTGGTCATCACATTGTAACAGATTGGGTCGTGCCTCTTGGAAAACGATGTTTTGGAAAACGTTGGAGACAGTGTGTAAGTCAAAAGTTCATTACCAGACAAACACATCAACCTCTCAAAGCCCCGTTGTACAGCTACTATTTTATTATACATGAGCGACATAGTGTCCACATGAACCCTCATGTGACGTCGCTGTTTAGTTGAGAGGGGAAAGGAAAGTAGGACTTGATTACACACGTCCATCCATGGCAGAAGCGCCGCTCAAGCTAACACCAAGGATAAAAACAAGGCGCCATCCACTGACATCGCTCCCCTAGTAACTTAGCAACACAGTATGTCTTAAAGGTACATTCCAAAATTTCAACTGTTACAACATCCAGCTGTAACATGCAGAGCAAAACATGATCTGTCCTTTGTTGTTAACAATTTGAATTATAAGAGATGATTTGCATCATGAAACATGACATGGCTTCTCCAAGTGTTGTATTTTTGAACAAGACAGCCAACCCGTCTTTGATTATACACACATTTAATATTTATTTTCTTTTTAAAAAGTGTCCCTGGTTTAAGCTCTCATACAACATTTTGTCATTAAATGTGTGGAGAACTGTGATAGGTCTCAGATCGATATTTTAAATGGTAACTAGTAAATGGACCTGAGTTTATATATTTATTTTCTAGTCTTGTGACTCAAAGCTCTTTTACTCCGCAGGTCACACCTACACATTCACACACTGATGGTAGAGGCTGCTGAGTAAAGAGACCATCAGAAGTAACTAATCCATTCATACGCAGGTGACGAAGCAGCGGGAGCAACTTTAGGGGTTAGGTGTCTTGCCAAAAGACACACCAGACATGTGACTTCAGGAGCTGGGGACTGAACCTCGATCTTCCAGTTGAGAGGCGACCGACTCTACCAACTGAACCACAGCTGTGTCTAACAACATCACAGAAAGGATCCATATATAGAAAGACATTTTTGTGAAAGAGGGAGATGATTTCTGATTCGGCAGAAACATTTGTGATACTATTTTCTTCAAAGCCAGCAGACTCCATTTTATTGATTTTTTTTTACCTTTTTAGAAATTACTGGAGATATTTAAGCACAACTGCCCTCATGGGTTAGTTGTTTTTGTGTTTCAAAGTCCTACAACACGACACAATAAGACAAAAAAACATACTGATCGAGGCAGCTGTCAAACGTTAACTTTCAGTTTCTGCAAGATAGAATGACTAATTTGTCAATGGACTCTGGTGACCTGAGAAAAGCATCTTACCCTTGAACAAAATGGTCAAACAAAAAGGTCAACATCTTAAGTTATTCTTTCTCTAATGGTGGCTTTATATTAAAAAAAAATAGTTAAAGTACAAGAGCCCCCTTATCTCCCATTTTGTCACAAAGTGGGTTACACAGGTTGCACCTTTATTAAGAAAGGTCTGAGCCTCACAGAAAAAAAAGTCATCCATCATTGTCAGAGCGAGCAGGAAGCCACTCAACACTTTCTCTATCCACATCTCTTGTCAGTTGTCATGCATCCTCACTTTCCCACCTCCACTTCAGCTCCGTCTGATAACCTCATAACACTTTCCGCCTCTGCATCTATTACTCTCCACATCCAGCCTCCATCCTCTCACTCCCTGACACTGAAAACAAAGGACAGAGGTTTTCACTCTGGGGATGGTTTATGTCTATCACTTGTTGTTATGTTTGATGGCAGTGTTCAAGAAAAAGGGTGAAACCTGCTGTAGATTAACCTGCTGTCATATGAGATTGGGATGCAAAATTAGATCCATCCATCCATTTTTCTTCCGCTTATGGGTTGAGGTGGCGATACTGAAACCAAAGGGGATATATATCATCCATCCATTTTTTTGAGTCTACTTTCAGTTTGATGTGACCAGAAGACCTCCAAAGGCAGGTGACCAGGAGGCATCCTAATCGAATGCCCGAACCCCTCAACTGGCTCCTTTGGATGAGCCCAGCCACCCATCAGAGGAAACTAATTTCGCTTGTATTCAGGATCTCTTTCTTTCAGTCAGAACCCAAAGCTCATGACCATGAAGATCAACTGGGAATTCAAAAGCTTTACCTTCAGACTCAGCTCCGTCTTCAACACGACAGTCTAGCGCAATCCCCGCAATACTGCTGATGCTTCCTGATTTGATTAATTCTAAGAGTTCTGCACACATTTGATAAATTGGGGTGGAGCTCAGCTGACTGACAGGTGGATATGTTGCAGCTATTTACGAGGAGGCTCAGTTGGCCAAATCCAACCGATGGAGAAAACTTTTGAGTCGTTTTCCAAAGTAAAATCACTCCCTAATTTCAATCCATAGTTCACGTGCCTGAAGCCTTTCCGTTTAAGCATTTTAAAATGTCCTGCAGATGAACTGGATTATGTGCCAAAACTACTGGTAATAGTTAAATACAGCCATCTGTTTTTTGATTCAACTACTCATCTTTCCACCCCATATATCCATCCATCCTTCCCCCCGTTCGTACCAATGAGTCCGGCGTAAGCTCGGAGGCACAAGCCTGCTGAGTCTTTCAGGCAGCCGCTGGCCGTCAGAGGAGAGGGCTGGCAGTTGTTGAGGAAATCAGCCAGTCTGGACCTGGCAACAACACAAACAACAACTCAACATCAAACACAAGAAATCTGGATTTGTATGTTGGGGGTTTTCATAATAATGTCTGAGAGACGTACTGACACATTTATTTCTTGTACATTCAGCTTCATCTATCCTTTCATAACTATTTTCTGGTTGTTTCTTTGGTTTGCACGTACTGTATCTTCAGCTTCTTCCCCTTAAAGGAATAAAAAAGGATGACAAAAGCATGTATTTTTACCAATTTCTAACAACCCTAAGATTGTATCATGTTTCACTCTGTTTCCCATCAACTATGACCCACTTAACATGAATCTATCAGTTGGGTCATCACCTGCCTAAAAGCCCTTTCTTCTTTGTAGGTTTATTCCCCGCCATTCCAGTTTGGATTGAACAATACACATGAATGATTTTTGCCCAGCCACCTTTAGCTTCAACACTTACCTGCAGAGGTCATCTCTGCGGCAGAAGCTCTGCTGGTGGAGGCAGTTAGGTTGCAGACCCTCCATCTCCTGGAAGGAGCAGGAAGGTACGATGGTTTTCCTCCTCCTTTCACCACACAAGGTGTTGGTGCAGGGGCAGAACAAGACACCCAGGCTGTACTCTTCAGGAACCCGCTCCAGAAAGCGTCGTAAGGCCCGGTGGCACTTGTGCTGGTTGCATCGGTTAGTCCCTGGCACCTTTTTGGTACAAGCCAGTACATACTCTGATCTCAGGGAACCACACTTCTCATAAAGGCCACAGTCCTGTGCTGCCTTCAGGCACTGATTCTCACCATCCAGCTGCATGTAAGATGAGGCTGAAAGAGTTGAGGAGAAGTCAAATTAGACAAATATAAAGCAGCTATGTGTGGAGAGTTTCTATCAGGGAAATGAACATTTACAGCCTCATGCAATCATGGCTCAATATATCCATCTTACAGCTACAGAGGGCTGACAAGGTAATAAACAACATAAAGTGTTTTATTAAGATGATGGGCCACCATGTGCTCCCAGAATAGTCAGGTTTAGTTAAATTATGAATGTCATCTCAGTAAGTGAGATGAGAATCGAGGCATACCAGGTGTTTGAGAGATAGTCATACTGTAGATTTCGTTTGGTGTTTGTATGGCACTGATTGATAGATAATTAGATTCTAACCAGTTTTATTAACATTGAAGATCAGAGAAGAGTTGTGAGTTTATGGCATCAGGGTTTAAAACAGAAAGAAAAACAAAAGTGTCATCAGCATATTGTGGATTAGTACAGTACTTTATTACACTGAGAACATCACAAATACCAAGAGAAACTTACTTTGCTGAACTCTAAATAACAATGTAGACAGGTATTAAGTGCATGACGATGTTTCACCACAAGAAAGATGATTATTTAATTAGCTGACCATTTTGAGCGCAATGATTCACTTGTTCATATTTAATTCTCTGTCAATGTGACATATGCTGCTGGTTGTACTTATTTTTTGCAAGCTAATGTGGCGCAAAGTCAGAGTTAGCAGTGCTAAAATGACAATGCTAATAATTTATAGTTTCTCTCATACCCGTTATCGCCTGACTAACTTCACACTGTGTACAGACATTCAGTGAGTTTGGAAGCCAGCTTAGGGTTTCAGAAGGTGTTCAATATGAGCATTGATATCTAGAATGGATATGAACCTTTCATGTTCTTTCTCTGATTCTCAAACACAAATATTCAATAGGAAGTGGCTGAATGCTAACATTAGCTAAGAGTAGAGATAATGGGTTATATGAAATTTGTTTTGAACTTCAAATATGGCCCGATGGCCTATGCTGCTAGCAATTCAACAATGTAGCTACCTGTGCAGCTGAAACCAGTTTTCTTGAACATTTGAAGGAGTTTTATGAACAAATCAGCAAAAAATATTGTGCCTGCTGGGTCTAAGAAAAAAAGTCCAATGTGTGTGAATGTGTGTGACCAGTGTAAAAGTGCTTTGAGCAGACAGAATACTAGAATAAGCACTACACAAGCTCATTTACTATTAACCATAGCATGTGAACTGGTTGAGTAATGTTAGCTAGTTTATCTACCAACCAATTGAGTGATGGGCTGACTTGGAGCAGCAAGGATGTCAAACATTGGACATCCACTTTCCATTGGCAATGACTGACAGTAATTATACTTTAGGTTGGCAACAGACAGTAATTATACTTTAGGTTGGCGACCGACAGTAATTATACTTTGCAGTGATTGAAATCCAACTTATAGCAGGTATCACCGTCCTTGAGAACCTTTACGGTTTTCTTATCTAGTCTGAGGTTGTAAACAGGTGCTGAGCCAGCAAGCAGAGTAGACATATAAAGAGCAGAGTGTCCTCAGCTGGTCAAGAGTTACTATGTCTGTATTGATTCATACATATTGATTAACATGTCTAAGGCTTGGTGATTCATTGAGCTGTTTCACTGTGTATGATTGGTAAGATGGAGCAATAGAGCTGTCTGCCATTAAATATTTGCTGTGTGACATTGATGGACACTGACGCAAACTACCCAATCATAACAAAGACCGCATGAGTGACTCGGTGTGTGTGTGTCAGAGTGTGTTTTACCTGCCACTAAGGAGGCCATGCGAGTATCCATTAGTGTGTCATCATAGGGAGACATTTCCAGTTCATCCTCTCCTAAAAAAAAAAAACAGGCACAGAGAAAACCATTGGCAACAATTGAGTTAACATTTGAAAAGTGGGCCACAGGAGGTTGGAGGGAACAAATCTAAGACAAACATTAAGGTAATAAAGGACAACAGTAATGGAAAACACCAATGAAAATCCAATGAGGCATTCCTCAAAATGACTTGAAGAAGGTCATAAATGTAATCTAGAATGTAGTGTTGTAGTCAAGACCACACTAACCGAGACCATGACATACCCGAGCCAAGAGTGCTATGAGACAAGACCAAGACATTTACTGTAGGGATTGAGACAGAGTGAAGACCAAGACAAAGAATATCACAGAAAATGCTCAACTTGTGCAGCAGGCATGGCACTCCCTTACGAGGAAGGTTGTGGCTATAACTAGGGGTTAAAATCAAATTATGAATGAATTAAAGTTAATCCTTCTTTTAGAAATGAGCCTTTCCTTCTAATCCCAGTGATGACGTTGAAAAATAGTCAGTGGTGGTCTTGACTGGTTTGGTTTAAAATCTGTAGTCCAACCAGGTCTGAGACCAAGACAAGACAGAATAAAAATGCTTATGATTCCGTGACGAGACCAAGACCGATTTCGAGTACTACAACACTACTAGAATGAGGCTATAAAAGGTGAATAAACAAGAAAGTTCATTGCCAACCCTGTTACTGTGTGTTGTTTCCTAGTTCATGCATGGATATTTCACTGGAGGATTAACGATACGTTTTAAAACCCAGATAAGAAATATTTTAACTTCCACTCGCAAGATTCACTCGTATACCAATCATTTTAATTTAAAAACTGGGCCACTACCCTGTATAACCAATGTAAAATGCTGAGACATGCGGTCATGACCTCAAGGGCAGCCCCCACAATCTACCACTGCAACCAACAAAATCTGTTGAAATGTTGCCCTCAGCCATTATGTATTGATTATTGATTGATTGATTGATTTATTTATTGAAAACATTTGTCTTGCATCACAGCGGCTCTGTTTACAACATAAATATTAAACACCAAGATACAAAGTCAAAAACATCTGACACAACATTCAAACACCAAACATATATTCAAAGGCCTTCAACATGCTGGGATTATGCAAATGGCTGCTTCACTGCGCAAAGCATGCTGGGATACATAGCAATGTGGACCAGAATGGCAGCACCTTCTCGATGTACAGATATTAAATGGTGTCAAAAAATGTATCACAGTTATAAGAACACAATAAAGAACCTGCGCCAACCAGTATTACTGCTCTTTTCTCATTTAAATCCTATCAACAAGGCCCAGAATGAGGGTTCAATAATGAGAATACAACTGTGAATTAGCAGTCACAGTGATTTCATGTAACTGAGGACAGCTTTTGTCCACTTGTTAAAGCCATCAGCAGAGTCTTGATTGACGAGTGGACGAGCCGTTTGTTCCTGCAAATGATTTAAACACACTTCAAAGAACAAACTCAATCAGGAATGTAATGGCATGTAAAGTGTTTATGTATGTAAATCCTATTCTGGGCTATATATTTATGGTAATGACACGCTAGAGCAGCCGAGCAACATTGGGAACTGAAGAGTGTGTAATTACACTAATGCTCGGCTGACTAATAGGCCACAGGGGAGGAGGAGTCCGCTGGCTAGTGTTAGCTCACTTACTGATGCACACATCACACCAGCACTCTTGATACGCTCCTGTTACTCCCAGTGTGTGTGTGTGTGTGTGTGTGTGTGTGTGTGTGTGTGTGTGTGTGTGTGTGTGTGTGTGTGTGTGTGTGTGTGATAGGGTCCTTTTAACTGGGCCTCACTTTACATGAGCCAGGATTCAAAAGAAATCAGTTTTTGGCATTTCGGTGTTTGAAGGGTTGTGGACGTAAACATTACGTTTTCTAGAGAGTAAAATGTTTCACCTTAAGAAACAAATCTTCCTCTCTGAATGGAACAGATAAAGATAAAATAACACTCACATCCTTGACAAGGTTACGGCTCCAGACCGTTTCCGCACATCTGAAAGTGTTGAGCCACTGACAGCAGGGGCGTGGCCAAAGGGGTGGCCAGTGGTGGCATTGGCCCCGCTTGTAATATGATTGTCCACCCAAGGTGCTACCCCAAAATCCAAATCAATGATTGGCTATTTATTGGCCTTATCAGAGGCGGTACTTAAGTTGAAATTAAGTATTTATACTTATATATATTGATAGTTTTCTTTACATGTACATGTAGTATTTTGTTTTTGTTAGTACCTTCAGTTGTCAAATAATAATTTGAACACTTTGCTCTTTCCATAAAAAGCTGCAAAGCTAGTGCACACTGTCTAACTTGCAATGGACTTACTTGCCAAAATATGGGGTTTTTTTTAGCAATTTATACAGTGTACAAGAGTTTGCATACAGTTTTCTAAGTTCTTTAAATTGAGAATTTGCACATCTTTGATTTCGAGTCCTTAAAGAATCAAGCTAAGAATTGGTTTATTCAACCTATTACCTTTCAGCCAGTTCTAGTTGTTGTAGTTTACCGCCCTCCTGGCCCATATTCTGAGTTTCTATCTGAATTTGCAGAATTTTTATCAGATTTAGTCCTTAGCAGTGATAGAATAATTGTTGTAGGTGACTTCAATATCCATGTGGATGTTGATAATGATAGCTTTAGCACAGCTTTCATGTCACTATTAGACTCTATTGGTTTCACCCAGGGTGTAAACGAACCTACTCATTGTTTCAACCACACCCTGGATCTTGTTTTAGCTTATGGCATTGAAATCCATAACCTTACAGTTTTCCTAGAAAATCCTCTTCTATCAGACCATTTTCTTATTACATTCGACTTTGTCCTGCCAGAATTACCTCTGCTTGGAAGAGGTATGCTCTCTAGAAGTTTGTCTGATAGTGCTGTGGCTAGATTTACGGAAGCTATTTCAGCTGTTTTTGATTCAGTACCGTGTTTCAACCCAGTTGGAAACTCTTATGATAGCTTTAGTCCCTCTCAGCTAGATCAGTTTGCTGATGGTGCAGTGGATTCGCTGAGAGTTACTCTGGATTCGATTGCTCCCCTGAAACAGAAGGTTGTCAAGCGGCGGAGAGTGGCTCCATGGTCCATAGTCATAGAAGATATATGAAGGCTCTACGTCACGCTCGATGTAGAGCTCTAATCGAGGAAAACAAAGGCAATCCTAGATACCTTTTCAGCACTGTAGCCAGGCTGACAGAGCGTCATGGCTCCATTGAGCCTTGTATTCCTCTAGCCCTCAGCAGTAATGATTTCCTGAGCTTTTTCAACAACAAAATTCTAGACATCAGAGACAAAATTGGTAACCTCCTGCCCTTACCTGGTGCAGATACGTCTGTTATTATATTAGATTAGATATTCCATTTTTTCTGCGTCAAAACCGTCAACCTGTCTTTTAGACCCAATCCCAACCAAGCTGTTTAAGGAAGTCTTTCCCTTAGTTAGCAACTCTATATTAGATATGATCAATTCGTCTTTACTGGCAGGCTATGTACCACAGGCACTTAAAGTAGCGGTAATCAAACCTCTACTTAAAAAGCCTACTCTGGATTCAGGAACTCCAGCTAACTTATATCCAACCTTCCTTTTATCTCGAAGATCCTGGAGAAGGATCCTGGTAGCTAAACAGCTGTGTGACTTTCTCCATGACAACAGTTTATTTGAGGAGTTTCAGTCAGGATTTAGAGTCCACCATAGCACTGAGACTGCACTAGTTAAAGTTACAAACGATATACTTCTAGCTTCAGAAAGGGGACTTCTCTCTGTGCTCGTCTTGTTAGATCTTAGTGCTGCTTTTGACACCATTGACCATCGGATCCTGTTGTACAGACTGGAGCATTTGCTTGGAATTACAGGGACTGCTTTAAGTTGGTTTGAATCCTACTTATCAGACCGATCTCAGTTTGTGCATGTTAATGATGAGTCCTCTATGCACACTAAAGTTTGCCATGGAATCCTCAGACCAATTCTCTTTACATTATATATGCTTCCTCTGGGAAATATTCTGAGGAAACACTCCATACAGTTTCATGGTTATGCAGATGAAAACTCAGTTTTTACACTCTGTGTAAGGGCATCTCCGCTGTGCTCAGGATGTGATCTGGCACCTCTCCAGCTACCAGACCAACTTCCATATTTGATCCGCACTGAGACTTGAACCAGCAACCTTCTGGTTCTCAACCCAAGTCCCTACAGACTGAGCCACTGCCACCTGCATGATGACTCAGTTCAGTATGCACAAACAGCACAGAAATGCTGTTTTATCTGCAGCGCAGTTAGAGCTACATTTAACCCTTTTTACCCTTTTGCTGGTGTGAATTAGACGTTGTCTTTTTGATTCATTGCACAGGTTTGACTGACGTAAAAGCCACACAATCCTTTTGAGAATCAGGCCCTGACAGAAAAAACCAGCACAGAGGAACTTTAACAGAAGTAACCTCTTTCACATTCAAGAAAATTATTTGAGTCTTTGATTATATGAATATGTAATTCAGTGCAGCTCTAAGCCCTTTGATAAACCTTCACCCTGTCCAGAATGGGCCTCACCTCTCACTAAATCCATCAGCCTTCACCCCCGCAACCTTCAACTGCACATGTTGGTCAAGATAATGGAAGAATAAAGAGGAACCCGGTTTTAAGTTGCAATGTATATCTCCGTTATACAGTCATAATTGAGCACAGTTTAAGGAAAGTGGCAAACACAAGATCACAGTGTGTGAAAGTAAACGATGTCAAATGCTTTAGTTAGTGTGGCTAACGTTATTAGTACCAACGTCCATACACCTGTGCTGGTAGCGTGTTTCTCCAGTTGATAGACCAGTTTAACATGACAGCCGACATACAACTTTATCTTGTTGGATACAGACAATTATAATTACTTATAATTTAATAATAATAGAATTTATAAAAGAACAAATATTCAGCTTCCATCAGAATGTTTCATCCCAATTATATTTTTAAGCTCAAATGCAACTAAAGCTTTATTTAATCAGCAAACAGAGTATTTTCAAGTTATTAAAGGATATTTAGCTCACATTGTTTTTCAGCTGCATTAAATCATGTTTCACAACAAGTTCAATATCTACTAATTTCTTGCAAAAAAACATTTTCATGTTCTAATGCATTTGGTCTTTGTGCATGATGTATCGGTTACTCAGATAGATTCATTGCACTTTTTTTCATGTTTTCAATGTTTTTATATTTTAGATTGGCTCACAGGTGCATTGAGTGAGGAGGCTGGTTGCCAGTTATTGTAAATGGTAAATATTTATTTTCTAGTCTTCTGACTACTCAATCATTCACACCCTCGCCGCCTCTCAACCGGACGGTCGAGGCTTCGATCCCCAGCTGGGTAACATGTCCGATGTGTCCTTGGGCAAGACACTTAACCCTGAATTGGTCCCGCTGCTTCGGTGGAGGTGTATGAATGGGATTAGTTACTTCTGATGATACTACATAGTGATCATCACTACCATCAGTGTGTGAAAGGGTATGAATGGGTGGGTGTGACATGTGGTGTAAAAGCGCTTTGAGTAATCTGAAGACTAGAAAAACACTATATAAGTCCATTTACCATTCAAACTTAGCAGTGGGAGCAATTACCGATTATATTTCAGGGGCTTCATTACAGCTCATCATGTAACCATCATCATCCATCAATAGAAAGTATAACCAACTTATAATTCTAGGGCGACAACGTTTAATTCATAAGTCCACTATTTGTGCATATGATGAAAACACATACCGAGTTGTAGGCATGCACTTACACACACACACACACCTGGCAGCAGACGAACCCTCCAGTATATGCGCAGACAGTGCTCCTCTTTGCGGAGGCCGCGGTGACACTTGCAGGCCAGCAGGGCGGGATATCGGCCAAGAAGGGCGTCCTGTCTCTCCAGACATTCTGCAGCCACCTGCTCGCTCAGGGGAGACATGGCAGCGTCGGACGCACACAGCTCCAAACCCCGGTACAACGCCTCGCACCGGGGGTCCACAGAGCACACCCGGTGGGCTTCCACACAGTCAGTGGGGGGCAGTGGGTAGGGGAAGATGGGCGAGGAGGAGGGCGACACACCTGAGAGGGGACAGAAGAGTCATCACTGTAGGTTGAAACCTTTCAAATGCTGTTTTTCACACATGAAACATAAAACCCTGAAAATGACAAAAGAATTTCAGAACACACCCTGAAATCTTCTCCTCAGTAGCTTATTCACACATGTCCCCCACAGCGTGCAGTTTTCCCTGTGAGGCAGGGGGAAGGGCATGACGCAAAAAAGACACTGTGGAAATCAAAGATGGCGGGCGAAGCGGCAGAGTCCGACACTGTGCTTACATTGATTGTCTTTATATCAAGGCAGTGTGCAGTTTGACATATTCACACGTACATCATGAGACTCTGTTCACCATCACAGGAAATGTTCTTTTAAATGTAATGAAAGTTAATTAAGCTCATAAACTTAACTGTTGATATAAACACAGCTCTGTAGATTAGTCAGACTGTTTGATAAGCAGAAGAAATGTATCATTTTTAAATTAATAAAATTAATTCATAATCAATATTTTGTTACAGATGATTTATTTGATGAGTAAATAGCTGTGTAATAAGCGGAGGAACCACTTGTCGTTCATCCTTCTGTGCTTCAGTTAAGTTCACTGTGTGTGTGTGTGTGTGTGTGTGTGTGTGAGCAGTGAAGGCCTAAATGCATCAATACATTTTAGTTGACTCTTTTAACTATATCTCTCATTATCTTGAGATAACAACACTGTTCTCACATAAGTTAAGCAGAAGCTACCATGGTGATACCCCAGGAAGAAGTGAGCCCCATTGTTGTACAAAAATCTCCAAGTTCACCCTGAAGTTACCTCAGCAAAAGAGAATCATGTTTCATAGTAAACCCCCCCCCCCACAGGGTCAGAGACGTGACACCGACAGACTGTTGACGAGAATCTTTCTGGTTTTAAACAGTCTGAGGAGTTCTCGTGTCCTTTACAGGAGATTCTCTTGAATCTGTCTGCAGGTGTGAATGACTCTCTGGCCTTGATTAAATTTATCACAGACCATGTTTGGATTGTGTGGAACCCAAACTTTCTCCGAGAGGAACTGTTGTTTTCTCAAGTGTGTCTGCTTCGATTTGCAATAACGAAAGAAGAGGCTCCCCCCCCCGCTAAAAATCCAATAGCTCATACGCACACAGGGGAGGAGCAGAGGAGCTGTGTGAGGACAGCACAAATGTCATACAGGGAGGAGAGATGGAGGAACGGAAAGATAGATGGAAATAAAGGAGTGGTGGTAGAGCGGGCGAGAGAGAGGCAGAGAAAGAGAGAGAGAGTACCAATGTGAACCTTGATGGGTTGGACACGCGCTCAGTGTGGGGCCCAATCAGCATGCACTGCTGAAAATGATGTTCTTAGAATCACACGCACACACACGCACACAATCGCAGAAAACAACACACACACTTGTGCGCATGGCTGCACTGAGAAGGACCCTTTTATGTGTGTGTCCTGCTGGGAGGGAGACTGGGAAGCACAGAACCCATCATTACTACCAGAACACAATACTGCACAACCACAGGGGAGGGGGCGAAGGGGGCAAAGCAATCTGTCTTACACACACACACACACACACACACACACACACACACACACACACACACACACACACACACACAGACGTGCACACACACATATTGGTGTCAGAATAAAGTGGCTGAGAGAGCATAAACAGCTTAACATTCAGCGCCGGATCAGTAGACGGTATGTAAATTGAATACTGAGAGTGCTGGTGAAAGACTAACCACATACATAAAACATCCACCGACTCTGTGGAGACATCACACCTGATCCAGACCTGACCCACACCTGACCCACACCTGATCCAGACCTGATCCACACCTGATCCACACCTGATCCAGACCTCCTCTCTGACCAGAGAGTCTGAGGTCAAACTTTGACAATCAGACTCATCAGTCTACTGCTCAATGGAGTCCAAATGTTAGCAGCTGCCTGTGGAGTCATGACGTGCTGCGGTCACACACACAGTATCTGCAAGTACACACACACACACACACACACACACACACACACACACACACACACACACACACACACGCACACACAAACACACTCACACACACATCATGCAGAGGCTTTGTCCGAGGTATTCTTCCCTCAGTTTTGTCCGAGATGATCAGAAAGCATCTTGGGAGCTTATTTTGAGGTTGTTCTTTTTGTTCCATGTCAATCATCTGATGGCGTTACAGCCCCCGGGAGTGGCGGTTAACTTGAATGTCTTTTAGTTGGGGTGACAGTAATTTAAGATTATTACTGGGACGGCTACTTTGATGTTTCTTCCCTCCATTTTTATTTCTGAAACGATATCTTCAAAACAAACACAGATATTTAAAACATGCTGACAGCATGTGGACCAACAACATGAATGTTTTGAATTGTGTTGGATTTTTTTTTTTTTTAATGATCAAATACAGGATCAGAGTGGATTTAGAACAAGAAACTTCACAGACATGTTTTGAGGAGCTCTGAGACTTATTTACACTGGTTGAAGAGGAGGAGGATATGTCACCTTTAAATAAAATAAAACAACATTAAGAGTTAAAAATAATAATAACATTTCTAATTATACAAGCTTTGTGTAACTGGAGTCATGATTAAAAACTGTCCAGTTGTGCAGGAGACTGCAGGATGATTTTTAGTGGATTAACTTTCCTACACTTTAAAAAAACCTCAAACAATCCAGCCCCCAGTTTGTGTATTTTAATCCGTACTCTATGAATAAAGATTACTCTGATGCCAGTGCAGAATACAAGAAACTTCAATACTTCATCTGTTCTGTAAGGCTTTACCTGGATCAGAAGTGGCTTCACTGACTACAACAACTCAAAACTTATAGAGTATTTTTTCTAATGTCTGGTAAAATAAATCTTATTTCACTTTATACAAGCCACATAGACCTGACAAGTCCAGGTGACGTTTTGTTTCAAGATATAGAAAGTACAAAAAATAAGGCCTGAACTGTTTGGAATGAGTACAAATATCTTCCAGTCAAAAGGGCCACTTAATACAGAAATATCAAATGATTACACTTTATATGTATTTCAGTGTGCAATGTAGCAAATGTCATATCAGCACATTGAGTTTAGCATTCTTAAGCATTATAAATAAAGTTGAAGATTTTATTTTTTTTGCTCCATCTCAGTGCTGGTAATAAGAGGGAATATAACAAACACGTAGCACCAAGCACACCGAGCACACCGAGCCAGAACAAACTATTTCCCCACAATCCACTGTGACAGGACCCCCAGCCGAGCCAGAGGAAGCCCCCCGTTAAATGAATAAGGTTCCCAGTGTTTTGGATGTCTTGTTATTGGAGCGGTGAGCCCCTTGAGGTGTTCCCACAGGAAGTCCAAGTCACAGTGTGTGTTTGTTTCCAAGCCGGAGGGCCGGCTGACTGCAGCCGGAGCCAGGCAGGGAAGAGAACTTGTTTTAGCTACCCCTAACTTTGGCAGTAAGCCTTTTCTCTGTCCTGACTCCAAAGTGGTCCGTCACAGGAAGAAAGCCCCCCCCCCCCCCTCACTTACTTATCTTCACTAAAGAACAGAGAGAACACGTCAACAAATAAAAGAACGTGCCTCTCGGTCAGTAGAATTTCTGTTTGTCATCAGCAGACAGCAGCAGGGGCGATTAGACTTTTGTTTCCACGCTGAGTCTGCAGGTGGACAGCAGCTCCCTCCATCACTGCTGCAGGAGTTTATCTTTGTTTTCTCATTGAAAACAACCAACATCCAGAGTGCCATCTGCTGCACTAAGAGCACACACAGAACAATCCTGAGAGCTCCTTCAGTCTGAGAGCGTTTATGTTCAACACTCGTTCCATGCAATAAACTCAGGTAACCATTTTAGGGCCTGATTCAGTAACAGTGGATTACTGCTGCCATTAGCTAAAAACAGTGCATGATGAACTCCCTCTATCTGCTCAAGGTCTGATTCACAAAGCATGACATTCAGACTCCAACAAAGAGAGTGTTGGTGCTCTATGCAGTTTGCTCTTGTTTAGTTAGTGAACGTGGAGATAGGTTAGCTGCACTCTCACTCTGATGGAGCTGCACTCTCACTCTGATGGAGCTGTACTCTCACTCTCACTCTGATGGAGCTGTACTCTCACACTGATGGAGCTGTACTCTCACTCTCACTCTGATGGAGCTGTACTCTCACACTGATGGAGCTGCACTCTCACTCTGATGGAGCTGTACTCTCACTCTCACTCTGATGGAGCTGTACTCTCACACTGATGGAGCTGCACTCTCACTATGATGGAGCTGTACTCTCACTCTCACTCTGATGGAGCTGCACTCTCACACTGATGGAGCTGCACTCTCACTATGATGGAGCTGTACTCTCACTCTCACACTGATGGTGCTGCACTCTCACTATGATGGAGCGTGCGTGCGTGCGTGCGTGCGTGCGTGCGTGCGTGCGTGCGTGCGTGCGTGCGTGCGTGCGTGCGTGCGTGCGTGCGTGCGTGCGTGCGTGCGTGCGTGCGTGCGTGCGTGCGTGCGTGCGTGCGTGCGTGCTTGTGTCCTGTCTCTCTGGAGGGCGTAGCTTGTGCAATAAAGCACCTGGCTGGCTCAAACACCTGTTGCTCATCAACTCATCAGCTTCAGTATGAGAACCCTGGTTTCTCTGCTGGATCATTCAGTGGTAGTGTTATCTGCTGTTTCATACAATTTAGTCGTCAGAGTTTATTTCCATGTGTTTTTCCCAGTGTTCCATCTTTTATCGGGTACAGCCCTGGATTGACAAACAAAATGCGTAAAAAGCCTTTAACATACAGAGATGATAAGCATTGTTTATTCAGTGATTGTAGCGTCCTCTCTGGGTCATTGTGTATTCTCAAATAAAAAACAATTATACAAAACACCCCCAGGCGCCTTCATAACTCTCTTGGCACACTGATATATTGTGTGTGAGGGACAGATGAGCAGACAAATAAACTGATAAACAAATCAATCACGACCCCCCCCAAGCCGCCAGCAATGAATACAGAGGTCAGTACAA